CTTTGTGAACTCCTGTCTTAAATGTGTCATTGCTTTAGAAACTTTTTTAGCCATTCAGGAAAAAAAATCTACTATTGTTAAGTGACCCTAGTGCACCCTAAGCAAGACTCAGAAGGACCTGAAGTGAATGAATTTCTGAACAGGTCATAAACATGAGGAAAAAAATATTTTTTTTAAAGGATATTTCTTAGCTGTCTATGAGAAGAAGTTGATTTTAACTTTAGTTCCTGAGGTGAACTCTGGATGTAAGTGAAATATTTTCAGACCAATGAACACAGGTGGATATAGTCAGAGAAGATGAACTGAGAGCTTGTGGTTAAAAATGCTATTACACTCTGCTTAAAAAAATCTTGAGACTTGAAACACTTGGTATTTCAGCCTGTCATGATCCTGTACAAAGAACAGAAGTTATGCAGATTAAAACACACATCTATTGCGTACTGTGTAAGGCCTCTGTCCCAACTATTTTGCAGTGCAAGATTGTTCCCAAGAACCAGTGTCTTTTATCTAATCTGTCCAATCTACCTGCAGAGGGTAGGGTCTCTGCCCTCGATTTTCAGCACAAAACTTTCCATGACCCAGCAACCATCGATGCCTCAATCTTTTTTTCCCTATTGAACCCCCTTTTGCAGTCTGCACTGGCTTCAAGACATGCACGCAATCTTACACGGATCAAACTCCATATAGTCTGTGCTAATCTTAACAACATGATGTCATCCAAACACCATAGTATTTGTGAAACATGTTTTAATATTCTACATCTTTTGATCTTGTCTCATAAATCAATCCCTTCATCTCCTTAATTATTTTAATTGCTCTTTTTAAAATTCCCTTCAGTGTAATTTTCTAACAGGAAGATTCCCAAAAAATATCCCAGGCATGACCTAGTTAAGTATCATGTAACAGAGTAGTCATGCCAAAGAAGTGGAAGAGAAAGTCTATTAGTTCCTTCCTCAGCAATGGGATCCTTCACATGGAGGCTTAAATTCCATGGGCTTTGTTATTATGCTTTTCTGTAAAACCATATGTAATTTACTGTCTGCTTTCACTCCTACATGTTGATATTGTGAGTTTCTTCCTCTTGTTGAATGTTTTCCTACAGCTCTACCAAAGTTTCTAAGATGAACTTCTTCTTTTCCACGCTTTATTGAATTTGTTCATGCTGTTTTGCCAGCTTTCCCAGTTCCACCTAACATAATGAACAGCTGCAAAAGCCATTTATGGCTAATAACCATTCTTTAAGTCAAAGTTTAAGAAAGAAAGACTTCATATTTTTCTCTGAAATAATTTATTAGCCTTTTCAGCTCTTCAGTTGAATCCACTACTAATCCATAAAATTCTCATCCATATAAAAAAGGAAACAGTAAGACCACTGTTCTTTTTTCATCAGCAAATTTAATTAAAAAGATGACGCTCCACCTCTCCTCGAGTGCCAGTCTGGAATGGTCGGCCTTAAGCTGTAAAATTAATGCCAGGAAAAGATTTGCATGACATATTGATGTTTTTTCTGTAAACCCAGCAAAGCTGTTCGTGTGTATGTAAGGGCATAATTTAGCTAGGCACCTGGCACATATGAACAAATACATTTGAAGGTACTTAGGTGACAACATCACTATTACCTTCTTCCAATTATTCCACAATGGAAAGATAATGTAATTGGTTGAACTGAACACAAGGCGTTGCTCCCATTGAAGAGAGCAAAAATCAATCCAGAAAGTTCCTTTATGGAATGAAGTAACTGAAACCACTCCAGCTGCCACCAGCCATGGTGAGAGATGTAAGAGATTTTAAAGTGTAGGGATTTTCCTGGCTGTCTAATGGCAGCTGCATGTTCGGAAAAAAGAATGGTAGAGAGTTCAAAGCAGCAAAAAACCACTGATTTTGGTTAGAGAAAAAAAAGTCATGGCACTAAGAAAAATAAGAATTCCTGATGGAATGGCAACAAGGGTACACAAGCCACCCAAAGAGAACTATGTAATCCCCTGTAATATCCAGGATTGAATCAAAGATGTTGAATGGGAATCTGCAAAGCCATATATTTTAGCTAATTAATCATTAAAAAAAGCCTCTCATGCATGAGCTGTCTCAAATGAACAACAGCTGATGAAAGTGTAGTTACTACAGAACTGCAGATGTCTGTGCTTCCTCTGATGCGTATCCCCAGAGAACATTTTTGCTTTGCTCAGAGTGCCTGTGTGGAACTATAGCTGTTCAAAACAAGGATACTGTAAATTTCCCCTGAAAAAGCCCCACCTTATTCCAAGTGAATAGAAATAATCACGGTAGCACATTGGATTACACAATAACAATTACTTGTAAATCTCTTAATTTAATTGTGGAATCATGTGAAACCACGGCATGGCATTGTGCAAACCTGCTCTCAATCCTGCAATAAAATTAAAGGAACTAAGAGCTGGCAAAGCTCATAGGAACCGACAGTCAAACATCTTCCCCTGTACTTGGCACTGGTGAGGCCACACCTCGAGTACTGTGTCCAGTTCTGGGTCCCTCAATTCAGGAAGGACACGGAGGTGCTGAAGCAGGTCTAGAGAAGGGCAACAGAGTTGGTGAAGGGTCTGGAGCACAAGTCCTATGAGGAGCGGCTGAGGGAGCTGTGGTTGTTTATCCTGAAGAGGAGGAGGCTCAAGGGTGACCTTATCACTCTCTACAACTCCCTTGAAAGGAGGTCGTAGCCAGGTGGGGATCAATGTCTTTTCCCAGGTAACCAGAGACAGGACGAGAGGACACAGTCTTAAGCTGCACCAGGGGAGGTTTAGGTTGGATATCAGGAGGAATTTCTTTACAGAAAGGGTGATTAGACACTGGAATGGGCTGCCCAGGGAGGTGGTGGAGTCACTGTCCCTGGAGGTGTTTATGCAAAGTCTGGACGTGGTACTCAGTGCCATGCTCTGGTTGGCGTGGTGGTGTGTTCGGTCATAGGTTGGACTCGGTGATCTCAGAGGTCTTTTTCAACCTAACTGATTCTGTGATTTTGTGATTCAGTGACCAGTTCTGTAGTTAACTGCTTCTGCACACTATTTTTCTGGGTTTGTAGCTGCACGTGGTTAGTGTAATCTTTGCCTTCAGGACGCTGTTTTACAGTTACCCGTTAGACAAGAAAAAATGACTTTAAACAAAAGGCCTTACAGAGGCCCTGATGGTGGTCCCTTTGCAGCGGAGGCTGGCGGGCCCCCCCGTGCCCACCGCGGGCAGCAGGTGAGGTGCAGCAGCCCGAGGCCACCACTGCTGCCGCCGCCGGCATCGGTCCGCGGCCTCAGCGCCAGGACACCACTGCGGGACTTCACCGGGCTGTGTGACCACCATCCCGAGGGCCTCCCCAGGCTATTTTTCGGACGCCCAGCCGCGGCCCAGCCCCAGGGGGTGCCGATCGACCCCTTCCCTCCCGCCGCTCCGCTGCGGTCCCGCCCCGCCGGCCCGGCCCCGCCCCGCCGCCGCTCCCCCCCCGCGGCGCCGCCGCAGCCCCGCGCGCATATAGGGCCGCTCCGCCGCACGGGCCGCGCCGTCGCCGCCGCTCCAGGCATGGCACAGGGCTCTACCTCACTATGGCAGCAGCAACGCGGCACAGCACCCTGGACTTCCTGCTCGGCGCCACAGGTAACGGCGGCGCAGGAAGGCGGGGAGGGGGGCGCGACCCTTCCCCCCGTGGCGGGGTCTCCCTGCGGCCCCGCCGGGAAAGCGCCGCGTCCTCCCGCCCTGCCGGCCCCGCGCGGGCGCCGCCTCCCCCCGCGGGCCTTTCTCGGCGCCCCCGCGGGGCCGGGCGTGCCCGCGGTACCCGCCGCTGTCCCCGCGGCCAGGCGGGCCGCCCGCCGCGGCCTCCTGCCCCGAGCCCGCCGCGCTGGGGGCAGCCCGGCTTGGGGAGGGCGGACGTGCGGGTGCCCCCGGGCCGGGCGATCCCCGTGGCGGCCCCAGGGCGCGCTCTCCCCGCGGGGGCAGGGGAGGCGGGCGGGACGTGCCGCGCCGCGGGCCCGCAGGGGTGGGGGAAGGAAGGAGGGCCTGTCTGTGTGCGACCGGCCCGGCCGGGGCTCCCCGCGGAGCCGCCCCCGCACCGCGCTGGAGGCCGTGGGGATGAAGTGGCTCTCGGCTCCCGCCGGGCGGTGCGGGAGTGCGGTGCGGGATTGCCGGGTCACTGCGGTGCCGCTCGGACGCGTGGAGGGAGCGATTGGCGCTGGAGCCGCGGGCTGTGGCAGGGCCTGAGCCCGTGGGGGTCTGTAGGGAGCACGTTCGGGCCGGGAACCGCGGCGACAGCCGCGTTCCTGAGGGGCAGGGATGTGTGGACAGGTTTGATGGGGGAAGGGGGGGGAGCTGCCGTGGGCGCCAAAGCGGCTCGGTGAGTGCTGAGCAAGGCCGCGGGCTGGGTCTGGCCTTCCCGCCCCCTGTCTGGCCTGGTGTGTCGAACCCCTTTCTCTCTCCCTTTTTAGAGGGAGGGAGGTGTGAAGGTAGTTCCCTGCATCTACAGTCAAAATCTATTAATAGGTTGATTTGAGAAAGAGAGGTTCCTGAGTGCAGGGGCTTTGCTGCGTGCTGTGCCCTTTGTGGCATTGCTGTGTGTGCACTTCAGAAAGCCAGGAGCTGGGAGGGGAAGGTAATAGTGGAGCTGTTCCCAAGCAGTGCACTTTAGGGTATTGTAGTGTGTTTCACAGTGAAAATCTTGCAGTTTTCATTTTACAGAGATTTTTGTAGAGCAGCTCAGCCACTCAAATGATGATCCAATGGTCAACGAGGTAGTCCTGCTGTCCTTGCACCTCGTGCTTGTCTGACCTAGCGTGAACAGAATTAGGAAGCTAAACCAGTATAAAAATTATATTTGTAGATACCACACAGCCCCCTCAACAAGCTCTCTGCCTGCATAGTTCCCTGGACTATCTCAGGTTCAAGAGTTACATCAATGACTGACTTCTGCGGAAGAGTCAGAATTGCCAGGGATAAAAGTAGGACTAGATGTATTGCAAATAAGCCACGGGTATGGTGGCTGTTATGTTATATAAAGAACAATGCCATTAATTAATGTGGTAATGATCCTAATTATTGTCTTGGCCTTGGATAGGCTTTTCTATCCATTTCCCTTTACTTTTGAAGATATTGGTTGTGTCCTTCTCTGACCAAGATGGATGTGCCTAAATAGGTGTGGGTTGATGGACCAACTGTAGAAGTGTTACCATGTAGATCAAAGGAGGGAAGAAGGCTTTTTCCCTTCTTATGTTTGGCTCAGCACAACAGACATCGTCAGTGAGACGTGAAGAACTTTCTTCCGCCCATGACAGCTTGGAAGTTGGCTTGTAGTTTTTATGTGGACTTTTTCCCTTTGTCTAGTGTTTAGGGCCCAAAGCATGAAGAGTTGTTTAAGTAGGCAAAATTGGTGAATGTACATGTGTAGTTTATGTTACAGCGTTTGAATGCTGAAACATGGATTGTCCACTAGTTGAGGTTTCTGCTGCAAATTATGTGGGCAATAAAAGTTCTGAATAGTCTGGAATTACATGAAAAGGCATTTAGTAAAATTAAATGTGTGGTTTTGGACCTTCAGATCTTGTGAGAATAATACGTTATTTCTAGATCTCAGCTGAACCTGTTGCACCTCTACGTTTGCATTCTGGAGAAGGCAAAATCTGTGAATTTGGTAAATGCACGCTCCTTGTTCTGCAAAATATTAGCTGTGTCCTCATTTTTCAACGAGTATGTATTTTTGGGTAGATATAACTGTTAAAGTTGCCAGGTTATCCTGGAATCATAGGATGGCCTAGACAAGAACGGAAGTTAAAGATCACCTATTTCCAATGCCCCTGCCATGGGCTGGGACACCTTCTACTAGGTCAGGTTGCTCAGAGCCCCATCGAACCTGTCCTTGAACACCTCCAGGAAAGGGACATCCATAGCTTCTGTGGGCATTCTATCCCAGTGCCTCACCACCCTCACAGTAAAGAATTTCTTCCTGATATCTAACCTAAGCCTATTCTCTGTTTGAAGCCATTCCCCCTTGTCCTGTCTCCAGGTAAATAGTCTCTCTCCAGATTCCTTGTAAATTCCCTTCAGGTACTTGGAAGGCTGCAATTAGGTCACCTCAAAGCCTTCTCTCTTCAAGGCTGAACAATCCCAATTTTCTTAGTCTTTCCCTATAGAAGAGATGCTCCATCCCTCTAATCTTGGTGACCCTCTTCTGGAACCTCTGGAATTGCTCCAACAGGTCATTGTGCTTCCTGTGATGGGGACTCTGGAGCTGAACACAGTATTCCAGGTGGGGGCCTCACCAGGGCAGAGTAGAGGGGCAGAATCCCCTCTCTCACCTACTGGCTGTGCTGCTTTGGATGCAGCTCAGGGCATGGTTTGTTTCTGGGCTGCAAACTCACATTGCTGGGTCATATCCAGCCTCTCATCCACCAGCAGCCCCATGTCCTTCTCATCATGGCTGCTCTGGATCTGTTCATCACCCAGCCTGGATTGATACTGGGATTTGCCTCGACCCAGGTGCAGCACCTTGCACTTGGTCTTGCTTAAACCTCATGAGGTTCCCATGGGCCCACTTCTTGAGCTTGTCCAGGTGGCAACCACAGCACTCAGCTTGCTGTCATCTGCAAACTTGCTGAGGGTTCACTCACTCCCTTTGTCTGTCACTAATAAAGATATTAAATAACACTAGTTCCAGTACAAACCCCTGAGGGGACACTGCTTGTCACTGATGTCCATTGAGACTCTGAGCCATTGATCACTGCCTCTTGGATGCGACCATCCAAACACTTTCTTATCCACCCATTGACTCCACCTCTCTCTAATTTAGAGAGAAGGATGTTATGATGGACTGTGTCAAAGGCTTTACAGTAGTCCAGGTAAATGACATCTGTAGCTTGTAGGAAGGCAAGACTTTAGGTTATGAAAGCAAGTTTGAACAATAGTTTGTTTCATTGCAACACATCTTGAAATAACTGCACATGGTTATGATGGCACTTCTTAAGAATCTGCTTGTATGAGTTGTTATAGGTGGTTGAAGTAATTTGTATACGTTTCTTGGTGTTCACTTTTAACATAGCAGCTATCTAAAGGCTTCAGTGTTGCTGCTGAGCATCAAGACTGAACATGACTGTTAAGGGTGGGATAGTATTTCTGAGATGTTTTCTGTGATCTGTTTATTACTTTGTTCTCTGTTGTGTGTGACTTGTCTTCATCCTCAGTCTTGAGGTTCTCTGTGAGTAAAGGAGGGTGGCTATCTTTGGGTGGCAGTGAAAGGTTCTGGAGGGCACAGCTCTGCATGAAGAAGATGGGATTTTGTCATGTGGTAATTTATTAATGTGTCAATCATGTGCAATTATTTGCTAGCAACTGCCTGTGCTGCAGAAGGTGCAGGTTCTACTGGGTTGTTCTCACTGTCTGACTTACTTGGCACATGACAAAGCCCTTCAATAACAGCTTTGCTTTCTTCAGGCAGTCCAGTTCTCTGGGACTATTGGGATTGTGGTGCATTCTTTAGGATTCCCGTGTGTACAAAGCAAGGATCTTGAGAGTGATAACTGTCACATTAGGCATTTCTTAGTATTTGCCATCATCACTTCCGTAAGGTGGTTGAAAATACTGAGAGAGGTCAGCAATGTCAATAAAAACATGGATCTGAGAAGTTAGAGGACAAAACAGGTCCTCTTGTGTTGGTTTAAGGTGGGGAGGAACACAACCCTGTCTTGGGAACGGGGCTGCATGAGCTGAGCGAGGCCATGTACTTCTGTTAAAAGCTGCCAAGTTTTTTCAAACTTAAAAAAATTTATTGAAGTATGGTACAAAAATGTATTAGTCAAAAGAAGAAAGGCACTTTTGCCTGTCTATATAACTGTCAGTTAAATATAAGCAAGCTTGAATCTCTGATAGCTGGATAGTGTAGCCTGACTTTGGTGATGGTCTTCTCAAGAGCTGATTAAATTAGCAACCATAGAGCTCAACCCTTTGAGAAGACATATCTGTGACCCGGGAGATAAACAGACAACTTTAGCAAGCAAACAGTATAGTGTTCCCTATTCTAAAATACAAGAAAACTACTTTAACATTTATAAAAATGGTCACAGATAGGTGGCCTTCCTTAATTGGGGTGTAGAAGGCCTTAGTTGTGTATTTTTTTATCCAAAGGGATGAATTTGAGACTCCTCAAGTTATTTATTTTAAGGACTTTATTATGAAAGTATGTAGATACTTGATGCCTTAGACCTGCACAGGATTGATTTTAGATATACTGTATGTTGTAAATCTGCTTGTACATGGGAGTGTTCCCGTCCATGCATGAATGTGTCATATAAGCTTAGTTTTCTTGGTTGTTGAGTATTGAATTGATCAGTGTTCTTCATATTTCTCTAAGGGTGGGAGTGGAGATAATATGGAGACTCTGGGGAGATTTGGATTCTTCTGTTTGCCTCGGAAAGCTACTTTGAAAAGACATTTAGTTGGAAATTAGTTTTAACTGTCTGCAGGTTTACTGTTTGGGATTATTGTTGGGGGGTTATATATAATTCATGATACGGTGGCACAGACAGTTCTGCTGATGATATTCAGGGCCAGGGCACAGATGAGTGAGCTGGTGGAGGAGGGCAGTGATGACCTGAGCTGGCACAGTTGCTGAAACAAATTCATACAAAACTCTTGTATGAATTAGCACACAATGGGAATGCGGGGGTTGGAGTGCAGGTAAGGCAATCCTTGAATTTTTAAGAAAAATGATAGATTGATGTGTGTGCACATGGTCTGTTTCTCCTCAAATGAATGTTTTTGTGGAGATAGAAGGGAATTACCTTTTGTGGGCTGAGCGTGCTCTGTCAGTGACTTTGTTCCTGTCTGCAGAGTCTACTGCACATTCTGAATCTGCGTGAGGAAAGAGTTTTAATTATAAGTTGTTCTAAGTTACTCTCTTAAATATTCTTTCAGTATTGAAGTTTTTACTTAAGCTTTCAAATTGTTAAATATTTGAACTGCGTGCACTTCAACCAGTATTTTCATTTTTGTCTTTGTTTTGATTGGAAGTCTTGATGTTCTTCATAGAGCAGTACCACAGTTTTGTGGTACTTGTTTTTGGCTGTGCTAATCTAAATTTTTGGAGGGGAGAAAGTAGACAAGGTTGAGTTTTGTATCCCTTTGAGAAGCCTTGTTAGTTGAGTTTCCTCACTTGAAGGACTAATTAAAAAAATACCTTTCTGAAGGGATGATTTCCCGGAAAGAGGAGTGTTTAAGAGAACTAGATGAGGAGGAGGAGTGCTGTATTGGCTTTTTCTTGTGACCGTCTCTGAAACCTCTACCTGAATTTCTCTCTGTGAAAACTCTATATGAGTTCAGCTGCTCATGTGCTTTTAGCTTTATTGTGCTGTAGTAAAGATGATTTGGAGTTGATACTGGGTTTGGTTTATTTAGCAGATAATCAGCAGTTTTAGCTGTTGAGTCATGTTTCATCCCATACTAAGCATGGAAATATCAGAGAAAGCAGAAGAGATGGCTGGCACTGAAAAGTTGATGTTTTTCTTGAAGACTTGCAGGGTTGTTTTTCAAGTAAGTCAAGCTTGTGTATGAAGGAGAAGGGCTTAAACTAATACTAAGTACTTGGAAATTGCTAAGATTATAAATGAGAAGCCTCATCAATAAAATCTTTGAGCACTTAGCTATACAGAGAGTGATTTTTAATTTCATGTTCTCTGTGATGGGTGCTTTTGTTGCCTGATGTACTAGAGATGCTGGGGCTTTGTTTTTCTTATGAGGCAAATTTTGGCAGGAGCTGACTGCAGTTAGCTTTAAAAACACGTTAAGTATATTTGAACATGTTGTGGGGGAATGGCACCTCTGATCCTTGTAGCTAAATTTGACTGGTTCTGTCAAGTATTGAATTGTCTGAAGTGCTGAAACATCTGATTACAGTGATAATGTGCAGATAATATGCTTATCTCTTTACCTTAGTGATTTAGGGTATGCTAGCAAAATGTGCTGACTCCTTGACTATGATGTGTATGCGAAGACCATGTAAATAAAGATTAAACAAGACTCAAGTGAATGTCTCTGGACTTGCAACCTTGGCTAAGGGTGTGTTTGCAGCTACTTTGCAGCTGCGGTTCAGGAGTGGGTCTGTTTTAGTTATGTTCCCTTAGCAGCCTCCTTGAGTGGTGTGGGCTCGGCCTGTGCTTTTGGCTGGGCTGTTCTGAGCTGAGCCCTGCAGGTCTCCACAGCCTAGTTCTGACAGGTCTGGACTGAGAACTGGCCTGCTGTGTGTCAGAGCACAAATGGGGCTTGTCAGGAGGTGTTAATACAGGAATTAATAGCTTTCCATTTTTAGTAGTAAGGACTTCTATGAACTCATTCCCTGCTTTAGTTGGTTTCTAGTTTTGAAGATTAAAATGCTTCATGACTGGAACTCTGAAAATATAATTATATGATTCTCCAACATGACGTGGAATTTTCAATGGCTGCTTGCTGAGACCTGAAGGAGCTGTCACCTGCAGAGGTGGAGGTTAGCAGCATGGGACATATGTTTCAGGAGGATCCGATTAGAGGCTGCTGGGCAAATTCCTGCAGGAAATGAAGACTGCTTTTGACACATCAGTATTTCCTGTTTCAGGTACACTTCTCTGACCATGCCTTTTAAATAGCAAAATCCTTGGAAGGAGAGGA